GGCTAGAGTTAAGATATTTTGCATGAAACATTGTGTAGTGAACCTCTTGCAAGATTGTTCAAATTATAGCCCTGGGGTCAAAATTGGTTCCGCCCTGGGGGTCATTGATTTTCATTATGTACATATAGTGAAAAAATAAAAATAATATTTTTGTCTGAAGGTACAAGGCATAGAGCTTTGATGTTTGATATATAATATCATTAATAGGTCATCTACCAAAGTTGTTCAAAATTTTCCCCTGGTGTCAAAATTGGCCAAGCCCGGGGGCAGTGATTCTCATTATGTACACATAGTAAAAACAGAAAATAAAACAAACGTTTTCTGAATGGGAGAAAGCTATAGCTTAGATATTTGACTAGAAATGTTATTTGGTTGACCTGTATCAAAATTGTTTTGAATTACACCCTTGGGCCCAAGGGGACAGTGACCTACTTTCTTGTCCTTTGATGTACAGCAATGACATTTTGACCATGTGCACAGTTTTAGTTGTAAAATTGAACTTTGATATCAGATGACCTAGATTTTGATGATGTGACCTACTTTCTTGTCCTTTGAAGTAAAGCTGTGAAATTTGAACCATGCGGTGGCATAGCATTTTTCTCAAATGCAATCTTGTTTATGTTTTACTATATACATATTAGAAACCTATGACCCCCCGGGGCGGGACCAATTTTGACCCTAGGGCCATTATTTCAACAATTTTGATAGAGGTCTACTACACAATGTTTCATGCCAAATATCTAATCTGTAGCCTTTGCCAGATCAGAGAAGAAGATTTTTTTAGATTTTACTAAATACATATAAGGAAAAACCTATGACCCCCGGGGCGGGGCCAATTTTGACACTAGGGACAAAATTTGAACAACTTTGGTAGAGGACCCATAGAGGATACCATATACCAAAAATCAAAGCTCTAGGCCATTTACTTTCAGACCAGAAGATTTTTCAAGTTTTCACTATATGTATGTAATGAAAATTTATGACCCCCCAGGGCGGGGCCAATTTTGACCCTAGGGCCATTATTTGAACAATCTTGATAGAGGTCTACTACACAATGTTTCATGCCAAATATCTAATCTGTAGCCTTTGCCAAATCAGAGAAGAAGATTTTTTTAGATTTACCTATAGACATATAAGGAAAAACCTATGACCCCCCCGGGGCGGGGCCAATTTTGACACTAGGGACAAAATTTGAACAACTTTGGTAGAGGACCCATAGATGATACCATTTACCAAAAATCAAAGCTCTGGCCCATGTACTTTCAGACAAGAAGATTTTTTAATTTTGTGTTTTTTGAAATCCTTTTCTGGCCCTGTGACCTACATATGCAACAGACCGGAACCATTTGAACAACTTTGAAAGGGGACCACCCAAGGATCATTTCTGTAAAGTTTGGTTGATGTGCAGTCATTGGTTTCAGAGGAGATGTTGTTTATGTGAAATGTTGACGACGCACGACGACGGACGACGGACACAGGGTGATCACAATAGCTCACCCTGAGCATTGCTCAGGTGAGCTAAAAATGTTACTTTTACAGTGAAGGTTAAAACATGTACATTTTGTATATCTAATAGCTCCTGTGACATATTTTGCCTATTTTCAAAACACAAAAAAATGGTTCAAGCCACTTTGTGACAAGAATAATTGTGATTTTGTGAAAGTGACATTCAAATAAAATAAAACAAGAATCATCAATTCAATACATTTTTTAATTTCACAATTTAACAAAGCTTTATCACCAATTTCAGTGTACATGCTAACAAACAAACAAACAAAATAAACATGAATATACAAAAATGAGTGTATAAAATATATAATATAATGTATGACATCCACTGTAGTTAATGAAGCTAATTAAGAGCAAAACAGCAACATTTTTATTTCCACATTTTAACATATTGTATAAATTTTTCAATGACAATCATAATTATAATTATTCATTGACAATCATATGATTATTCAATGATAACCATATAATTATTCATTAACAATCATATAATTATTCACTGACAATCATACAATTATTCACTGACAATCATGTAATTTATTCACTGACAATCATATTGTTATTCACTGACAACCATATAATTATTCAATGACAATCATATAATTCACAGACAATCATATAATTTATTCACTTACAATCATATAATTTTCAGTGACAACCAAATAAGTATTCAATGACAATCATATGATTATTCAATGACAATCATGTAATTTATTCACTGACAATCATATAATTTATTCACTGTCAACCAAATAATTATTCACTGACAATCATATAATTATTCACTGACAATCATATAATTATTCATCGACAAAGAATAAGAAACTGCGGCATTTAAGTTGTCAAACACACAATGCATTACATCCCAATTAAAATGAGCTGAGATTGAATTCTTGAAATGATTACTAAATAAGCACCATTCCCTTAAAACACTGTTTTCTTGTTAGTCCCTGATATATAGTAATGATTTGAATTTTTTGAGCTACAAAGTTTCATGTAAATTTGATTTTTGTTTGGGAATTTGATGGGAACAGAATAAGAAATTCAACATGAAAAGATATTATGATATCAATCAAGATGTTTTCATTGGTAATGCATAGAAACCTTTAGAATAAAGTATCAAATATATGTAGTTTTCATGGACAACTGTGTTCTTTTAAATCATAGAACATAGACACATATGCCTATAAAAAAGTAACAAAATTTACATTATAATGCTACTCAGTACATGAATTTTCAAAATAATGTGAAATCCGGACATACTTTCGTATCGAAGGAATGCTTTTGATGATACTTGAGAAACCTGCTTGTATGCTTGGACATAAGGGGACAAGGAAATAACAACTAAATAAGCTGACAAGGAAATAACAACTAGATAAGCTATCTTAAATTGGTGTCCAATTGACAGCTAAATTGTTATGCCATATTTTTATACATTAAAATAAAAATATGCAAACATAACATTTCATAAAATCATGTTATGACAATTGGTATACTGATTGTCAAAATCTAAACTTAGTTGGCTTATATTTCTTTTATTTACACTATTAACTATGGACAGAAATACTTCCTTTCACAATGATCAATAAGACAAAATGGTGATGTTACACCTAATTGGACGAAAAAGATAACGCAGCACTTATCTCCAGTTGCTTGTCCCCATTATATCCTGTCTCAGTTGTATGGCATATATTTATATAAATAGAATATAGAGTTGTTTTTCATCAGTTAAAGCAGGAAGGAAAACCTAATGTACAACACTGTATATAAAAAGTTACTGTAGTACAATAAAACTATACCACTGAATTAAAACAGCCAATAGACACAAGTTAAAAATCAAAAATATTTGTGTACATGTGCCATTCATTTAGTCTATGATAAACCACTAAATCTACCATCATAACTACCTAAATGACCTTTAGACATGGCCACCATTCTCATGGTTTCATGACTACCCAACTGACCTCTAGACATCAAGACTACCTACATGACCTCCAAAGAGGTCATTCTCATGTTTTGTTAACTACCCAAAAGACATCCAGTTATCATGGTTACCACTCTCATGGTTTCATTACTACCCAAATGACCGCTAGATAACATAACTACCATAGCTACTTAAATGACCTTCAGCCATGACTATTCTCCTCATGGTTTAATAACTACCCATATGACCTTAAGACATCATGACTACCATTCTCATGATTTCACAACTACCAAAATGACCTCTAGATATAACAACCATACTCCAGCCATGGCTATCATTCTCATGGCTTCATAACTACACGTACCAAATGACCTCAAGACATCACAACTTTTACCCTCATGGCTCCATAACTACTCATATGACTACCATACATCATTAACACCACAGTATACTACAGTTACACATACATATTTTACTTTCGAAATAAATAATGGCTTTTGCTTTATATACACATGATATAAAAAAAATTAAAGAAAATAAACAAATATCACAGACTGTTACAGGATACATGTACAAATATCCACCTCATAAATAAATCCCATCATATTCAGAAGGCATTACTCATTTGAAATTTCACAAACTATACCTCACATCTGTAAATTTATCTTTTTAGGACTTAACCAGAGACGTTTAAATACATTTGTATTTATATGTCTCTGACTTAACTAATCAAATTATTCTTAAAGTATTAAAATATACATAAATAAATAACTTTATAGACATGCAGACAATTATTTCTTAGGAAAAGTTTTGGTAACATGTCAATGTCTATATCTTCATAAAAGACATCATTATATAATAGCAATTGTACATTTAGAAATGTTATACTACTAAACACAAACAAATACCACCATGAGTATAATATATACCTTGTACTGGCTTTAATATATACATGCATATTTACATTGCTGTATTATTATTATTATATTATTATATATACTGCAAGATTTTGAAAGAATATTTGATTGGAAAGAGGGCTTTTTTAAGTCTCTGTTATATAAGGTGAAAAATCACTGACTTTATTTTTTTTTCTTTCATATATAGATTTTTAGAAGATTTCATATTTTCATATGAAAAACACTCAGATAAAGAATAAGATATATAAATAATATTATTTTGGCAACTTTCAGGCATAACTGGAAAGTTACCATATCCCAAATAAAAACAAAATAACAGAAGTACTTTCCTTGTACACTGTACTTATAAACAAGCCTGTTAAATATGTTTTTTTTTCTGCAACTTTTAGTGCACGCAATATATATCAAATAATTATTTTTGAAATTGTGCCACATTTATACAAAAAAAAAGAAAATAAAAGAATCAGCAAACTTGCATTATGGTCATGAAGAATCATCAGATTACACGTAAACAGTATTCTGTCATAAATATCAAAACCCAGGACTTACATATACATCAAAACAGACATATATGACTGATATCAAATCTGGACAGATATCAGATACTGGTAATCTGGACGGATATCAATGTTATATGTGGACGGATATCAATGTGGATGGATATCAATGTGGACGGATATCAATGTTTTTTATACAGCAGTTAACACTTGACACAATGTGCTGTGCACTATCGGGATAAACACCTACACAGATATATATTAGTACGGGTTTCTAGTTGTACTAGATATCAGACACTCTCGTATTCTCTCTGCCAGGCAGCATATTTGTCCTTCATAGCTCTACCAGATGGTTTAGTACGCTCTAATGCTTTCAGTACATCTGTTGTGACTATAGTATCCAGCCGAATGTGAAGATCTTTACCTATAACAAGCGAAAACAACATTTTTCCAATTGAACAATATTGGTATAGAAGAAAAGGACTTCAAAATTAGAATTATTTGATTCATTTCAATATCTCCTTTAAATAATACTTAAATACATGCATAATATATATAGTAGTAGTACTTTACATTAAACCTGCAATGTTTTAATTCTTTCCCTAGCAGTTTGAGGAATCAAATGTTTCATACAGACTCCTGTCAGACAGTATGCACAGTAAAACCTGTTTTAAAGGCCTTCTTCAAATAAAGATAACCCTGTAAATAAAAGCTCTTTTTTAACAACCCTTCACTGATCTAAAATAGGACAGAGTAACCTCCAAATATGGACCACATGTCTATACAGGTCATGTTTGGTCTCTCCTTTCGGTGACCTTTGATTACAGGTTTGAATGTGCATACAGACTAACCAGGTCATATACCTACTAAAGTGGCCAGTCATTTTTACTGTACAGTATAACTTACCTTCTGAGTGATTTTCCAGTGCATCAAATATTTTTCTGACAGGTCTCATGGCAGCCTCCTTACATACAAGTTGTATATCTGACCCTGAATAGCTTTCAGTTTTCTGAAGATAAAATATATGTCAAATGTATTACTTTGATAATAATAAAAACCTTGAATTACTATCTTTGTCCCTTCAAAGAGAGATATAAAACATTAACTACAAATGCTCCATTCCGGGAAGCTTTTAAATGACAAAATGAAAATTAGACCTTAGAGGTCAAGGTTATTCAAGAGACAAAACTTAATCACATTGTTTAATAATGCCCATGATACGCTGCAAATATATTTATGAAGACTCCAGCTTAAACTGGAAATGTGTCCATAGGACAAGCATGCCCCCACACTCCACCGATTTGTCAATCATATGTCTCTAGGTCAAATATTTTTTTTTGGCTACATGTGCCCAAGTTGAAAACTTAAAATCTTTTATTAAGAAAAGGGTTACTTGCGACACAAGTTGACAATTGGACATTTTTACTAACTCAAGGGCAATAACTCTAAAAATACTAAATATATCCACACAAAAATACCCAGTTGCACAACTACACATGCTGATCAACATTCCTGTAAGGTTTCATGACTCTAGGTCAATTTTTTTTTAAGTTATGTGAGACACAAGTTGAAAATAGCAAATTTTTACTAAGTCAAGGGCAATAACTCTGAAACAACTAATAAAATCCACACGAAAATACCCAGGTGCACAACTTCACATGCTGAGCAAGATTCTTGTAAGTTTTCATGACTCTAGGTCAAATAGTTTTTAGTGACTTGCGACACAAGTTGAAAATTGCAAATTTTTACTAATTCAAGGGCAATAACTCTAAAAATACCAAATATATCCACATGAAAATACCCAGGTGCCCAACTTCACATGCAGATCAACATTCCTATAAGGTTTCATGACTCTAGGTCAATTACTTTTTGAGCTACGTGCGACACAAAAAGAGAACAGACTGAAATATGGACGGACCAACAAGGTTAAATCTTAATGCCCCCCCCCCCCCCCCCTTAGTGGGAGCACAAAAATAAAGTTATGTGGCCTAAAATGAATTGTCTGCTGGTAAACATACAGACAT